CTTCTGAGCTCCCTTCCGAGTCCCCGCGCTAGAAGCTGAGGCTCAGAAAGGTAACAGCGAGCCTCCGAGAACAGGCACAGGAAACCAGACGAAACCGTAGGACAGCACTGTCCTCCTCTGTCCCTTAAGCAGACCCTCGGCATAGGACGACGGTCAGCGATGCACCGCGACATCGTCCCGGTCACTTGCGGGAAAATTAGTATGTAAAATAGGATGCGTTCACTTAACATTTGGCTCACGCCTGTAATCCCAGCACTTTGGGAGGCCGAGGCGGGTGGATCACCTGAGGTCAGGAGTTCCAGATGAGCCTGGCCAGCATGGTGAAACCCTGCCCTCTACTAAAAACACAAAAAAGTAGCTGGGCGTGGTGGCTGGCACCTGTAATCCCAGCTACTCGGGAGGCTGAGGCAGGAAAATCGCTTGAACCCAGGAGGTGGAGGTTGCAGGGACCGAAATCGTGCAGCCTGGGCGACACAGTGAGACTCCGCCTCAAAAAAACAAAAAGAAAAGAAAAGAAAAACCCCATGCTTGTTAGTCTCTTACCACAAGAAACACTCGTCCTCCTGCGTCACCCTCCATCGGGGGAGCCTTGCTAAGGGCAGCGAGCGGAAACCAGGGCGTCTCCCCTAGGCCGGAACCGTGCTCCACGTGGGACGCCCGCCAGCCAGTGCAGCCGCTGGGCCTCCGCCTCCTCCAAACTGTAAGAGTCCTAAGAGCTTTTTCCTGATTACAGAAATAATGCGAAACTTGCTTTAGAAAACTGGAAAAGTATACAGTAAATAAGGATATTTATAATTCCACCTTCCTGAGATAATGAGTATTAACATTTTGGAGCATTTTCTATATTTGCAATCACATTTTTAAAAATAAAATATTAATATAAACCTAGAGGCATATCCCTTTCATCCACTTCAAGCCATCAATACAAATAACTTCCACCCAAGAAACAGAGGCCTCAGGGTTCCCCTGCTGCCCCTTCCTCTCTGTCCCTTACCTGCAGGTGGAATAGTCCTGCCTCTGACACAGAGCCAGGGTCCCGGGCAGCTCATTCATCCCCCATACCCCAGAGGGACGCCGGCAGCCACTGTTGGCCCACGGGGCCCCCTCCACACTCGCGCTGCAGGGAAGGGCCTTCCAGTAAAAGACACAAGGTGAATTATACTAAGTTACAGTTCACCCCTTCTCACCCCTTTTCCATTTGTTTTACTTTATCTCTGGTAATGGTGGTTCAACCCACAAATATAACATCAGAGAAATAGAACTGTCATGTGGTTGGTATCATAGATGTTTTCTGACATACATGCCATCTAGTTCCTACCCAGTTACCCCTAATTTGGGTAAAGGATATTGTCTAGTTAAGATCATCTTTGAGGGAGGATACCTTGCACTGACATTTCCAAAAAGCAAATGTGTCTAGTTGTTTGTAAGACAACTCATGTGGAAATGCAGCAAGGAATCTGAAGGGGCAAAGAACTGTAAATAACCAGTCAACACAGTTCCATCTCACTGGCAATGGAGGGAAAGCAAAAAAAAAACAAGCTATCATTCTCACCCATAAAACGTAAAAACTTCAAACTTAGGTAACAGTCAAAATATTGCTGAGGATGGGCCGGGCGCTGTGGCTCACGCCTATAATCCCAGCACTTTGGGAGACCAAGGTGGGAGGATCATGAGGTCAGGAGTTCGAGACCAGGCTGGCCAACATGGTGAAACCCCGTCTCCACTAAAAATACAAAAATTAGCCCAGCGTGGTGGCACACATCTATAATCCCAGCTACTCAGGAGGCTGAAGCAAAATTGCTTGAACCTGGGAAGCGGAGGTTGCAGTGAACCAAGATCACCCCATTGCACTGCAGCCTGGGCAACTGGAGTAGCAATTTGCAAGACTCCATCTCAAAAAATAAATAAAAATTAAAATTAAAAAAAAATACTGAGGATGTGGGGAAACGGACACTCAACCACCATCGATATAGAAATTGGTACGAAATTTTTGGAGGGCAAGTCTGTACTACTTAGCAAATGCATATGCCCTATGGCTCAGCAATTTCAATTCTAGAAATCTATTCTACAGAACTACACTGTCCAATATCCAATATAGTAGCCACTGGCCACATGTTATTTAAATTTAATTAAAATTAAATTAAGCCTGGGCAACATGGTGAAACCCAACCTCTACAAAAAAATACAAAAATTAGCCAGGTGTGCTGGCATGAGCCTGTCGTCCCAGCTACTCAGGAAGCTGAGATGGGAGGATCACCTGAGGCTGGGGAGGTTGAGGCTGCAGTGAGCCATGATCACACCACTGCACAGCCCAGGCAACACAGCAAGACTGTCTCAAAAAATTAATTTAATTTGAATTAAAATTTTAGTTCTTCAGTTCCCCTAGTTGCATTTCAGGTGATCCATAGTCCTATGTGGCTAGTGCCTGCCACACAGGATAGTGCAGAGACAGATCACCTTCGTCACCCAGAAAGCTCTGCTGGGCAGTGCTGGCACAGGAACAGTCACAGAAATAGACAAGGGGCCGGGCGCGGTGACACACACCTGTAATCCCAGCACTTTGGGAGGCCAAGGCAGGCAGATTCCTTGAGGTCAGGGGTTCAAGACCAGCCTGGCCAACATGGTGAAACCCTATCTCTACTAAAAAAAAATTAGCCAGGCATCATGGCAGACGCCTGTAGTCCCAGCTACTCAGGAGGCTGAGGCAGGCTAATTGCCTGAACCCAGGAGGCAGAGGTTGCAGAGAGCCAAGATTGCGCCACTGTACTCTAGCCTGGGAGACAGAGCAAGACTCAATCTCAAAAAAGAGAAAGAAAAAAAAAGACAAGGACATTCAATGCAGCATTGTTTATAAAGCAAAAAACTGAATATAAGCAAAAAAGGGGAATAGTTAAGTAATGTCACATTTATACTACAGCATGCAAAAAACAAAAATATGAAGCAGACGTGAGCAAATAGTATACTGCAAAACAAGATATCCAATTCTTTTTTTTTTCAGATGGAGTCTCACTCTTGTCACCCACGCTGGAGTGCAATGGCGCCATCTCAGCTCCCTGCCACCTCCGCCTCCTGCTTCAAGCGATTCTCCTGCCTCAGCCTCCTGAGTAGCTGGGATTACAGGCGCCCGCCACCACGCCCAGCTAACTTGTATTTTTAGTATTTTTCACCATGTGGCCAGGCTTGTCTTAAACTTCTGACCTCAGGTGATCCACCTGCCTTGGCCTCCCAAAGTGCTGGAATTACAGGCATGAGCCACCGCGCCCGGCCAAGGTATCTGTGTTAACGTTTTGTATATATAAATAGATATTTACGTAATCTCTAAAGATACTGAAACATATCTTCAAGGACATATCAAACTGTCAGTGGCAGAAGAAAAGGAATTAAGAGAGAAGAATGAGAATTTTCACTTTTATTTACTTCTAAATTGAACTTGTTTAGAAACAAACCCAAACAGCAAACTGCATTGCTGTACTTTTTTAAAAAAAGAGATATGCAGGGAAGACCCACTCAGGAGCCCCTCTCTGCAGGAGACAGCTTTTCTTTCCTCTTTTCTCTTGCCTATTAAACCTCCACTCTTAAACTCACTTCTTGTGTGTCCATGTCCTCGATTTCCTTGGCATGAAACAACAAACCTCGGGTATTTACCCCAGACAGCAACGCCGCTTCATTTCGGGGCCCTGTCCAGGACTGGAAAGTGCACTCATCGGAAAGAATGTTGCTGAAGATGCAACATCCAAATGGTGCTACAGATGGAGCCACGCATGGACACACCTACCTTTCTTCCGAGGACCCTTAAATCAACCCCAGGAGAAGCCTTAACTGCTGTTCCCCACATGACACCCCTCTTCAGCAGGAAGTAGCCAGAAAGAGTCATCATCCAATACCCCCTTAACAGCAGTGAGTTACTTCTCCTTATAGGGGAAATGATACCAGAGCTAGAAAGAAATTATTTAGGCAGATAGTGAGAGTAAGAGACTCATTGGTAAGGTTTCCTTTTAATAAAAAGCAACCCCCAAATCATTTCTAACAAAGAAGCACCCTGAAAAAAATCAAGCTGCAAACATAGATTAAGCAAGCTGGAAGCCTGCATGGGTACATGCCAGCAGCTGTGCCAGTAGGAAAAGGCTATCGGCGGGCCAGGCATGTTCAACATGGAGGCTTCCTCTTCCCTTTTGTCACATGTGCAGTAAAAAGGCAGGCAACATGGCACTAGCCAGGTAGAGACCCCATCAGCATAATAAAAGATTAGGGTGGGATGGCCAGCTTCTTCATGCTAACAGCACACCTGGTCCTATCAATCTCTCAGACCCGATGTAAATCAGACACCACCTCCTCAAGCTAGCCTATAAAACCCTATGCATTTCATCACGAAACCGGAAGACCCACTCAGGAACCCCTCTCTCTGCAAAAGAGCTTTTCTCTTTTCTCTCAACTATTAAACCTCTGCTCTTAAACTCAAAAAAAAAAAAAAGATTTTCAAAGGACTTCTACTTTTAGGAAGATGATTTACCAGTGATCCCTGAGGATATTATAGTCTGCTCATTTCTTCTCTAAATTGGTACTTCATTCCTTGGTTATCATTTTTCTATACTAGTAATAAAAAATGATGTTTCTGCAGCCCAGGAGGAGCCCCAGAAGTGTCCACCCAGCTCTGGCCTCCTCCCATCTCTCCTCCCCATGCTTCCCCAAATGCACTCTTCCCTCAACCATCTTTTCACCCACTCACACCCACACTTTCTCAGCAGCTGCACACAACTCCTGGGGTGATGCGACCCTATCACACCACAAGCACAACAGATGTGCCGCTCCCCAGCACAACCATGTTCACTGCTTCCTTCCTCAGCCTGCCCTGTGAGAGCAAGAGCAGACAGAGCAGGGCTCAGTGAAGTGAAAGGGACTGGCGGCAGCCCCGACACTTTAGACACAAATCTCGCCTGTGAAAGTGCTTCTTAAAACACATCACATCAAAGGTAAGAAAACCACCACCAGCAAGTCAGATGAGCAGTTATGTTCCAAATGTGATGGGTTTATTTTATTTTACTCTGATGCAAAACCAAAGATTCCACTATAGCACAGAGACCAATATATTACAAGGTCATGAAAAAATGGTGTGGGACATGCAGGACGTGATGTACAAACTGGAGGGTCAGATCGTCTCCTCTAACATGACACTACACTGTCGCTGAGGAACACATTTAATAACACTGCAGAACTGAACTGAAACATGGCACAAACATGACAACTTCCAGGCATGCCTTCAAGCGCCTCCCTCAGGAGGGATTCGCAACCCCTAGACTTCAGTGTGGGGAGGATTACAATTCTTTGGAAGAATAAAAAGTTCACACTTTTGAAATTTCACAGAAGAATTTTAAGGCCAAAACACAGTGGGTTCATTTCTCTTCACTTCCAGGGACAAATCTGATGCTTTCCTCAAACCACATTAAGCTTCCAGTTCAAATCCCAAGCCAACCTTGTGACCTCCTGCACTGAAGTTCTTCCCATCGATTAAAGCTGATAAAGTCAATTTGACTCCTAGGAAGAAGAAAACACCACAATCACTTGTAACAAGTAACAATTAGATCTGAACTTTCTAGAAACAACAGATGGAATCAATGGTGTGGATTGTAGCTGGGTATAAGAGCTATAAGCAAACAGCTATTACTCAATCGGTTATTTATAACCATCTGATGTGTAATGAGGAACGCATGATCATGGCAAACTTTCTCTGAAGTTCAGGGTTAAGGGCAATGAGTGATCAACCAAACTCAAAAGGCCAGAGTGACCACATTATAGTCAGAAATACATACTTTTTTAATGAAAAAGTATTTGATCTGTTTTGTTTTCTGTCTGAACAACCAAATGTTACAAAATGGTCCGAATCAACTTACAGTGACTATAGGTTGTTCTGCAGGTTATTTTCATTTTTTTCCTCTATCACTTTCCACCCCAGACCCTCTGTTACTAATTCCTTTACTTACCTGGTCGAAGGGTCTGAGTATAACCCAGTCCAATCAGGCTGGCATTATTTACTTTAGCCTAAGATTAAGAGATAGAATAATAACATAAAACAGTGAATTACAGATCAGTCCAATACAACTATCACTTTGTGCATCAGGTTTCCAACGCTAAAAGCACCCTAGGGCCAATCTGGAATTACTGATTTTTTTTTTTTTTTTTTGAGATGAAGTTTCGTTCTCGTTACCCAGGCTGGAGTGCAATGGCACGATCTCAGCTCACTGCAACCTCCACCTCCCGGGTCCAAGCCATTCTCCTGCCTCAGCCTCCCAAGTAGCTGGGATTACGGGCATGCATCCCCATGCCCAGCTAATTTTGTATTTTTAGTAGAGATGGGGTTTCACCATATTGGCCAGGTTGGTCTCAAACTCCTGACCTCAGGTGATCCCCCGCCTCAGCCTACCAAAGTGCTGGGATTACAGGCGTGAGCCATCGTGCCGGGCCAGAATTACTGATCTTTTAAGTCAGCAGGACTTGTATGGGTGGGACGTACCTTAAGAATGCATGCTTCAAGGCCTCCAGCAAAATTTTTAAACACTACACAACCAAACACCCTGAATTCCCTGAGATACCAGCTGACAATCTCTCACAGTGGTTACAGCATGAACTCGGGTGACAGAAAAACAGATCTAGGTTCAAACTGTGGCACTGCCAGTTACTACGTGACCTTGGGCAAGTTAGCTGACCTTTCTAAGGCTCAGTTTTCTCATCAGTATAACAGGGATGAGGATAACACTACTCGCCACATGGAGTGGTTGTGAGGGTTAAATGACATAATATACGTAAAGCCTTTAGCACAGTACATGAAATTTAAGAGCTCAGTGTTATTTTTAATAAGAGTTACTATAGCAACAGAAATAGTCATCTAATCTCATGAATTTCCAAATAAGAAAATTCTAAGGCCAAAGTGATAAAATGACTTGAGAAGGTCAGACAACAAATATACAGGAAGAGCTTGGCACAGAAGAACCCCTATGTCCTGACTTCAAGCATAATTTTTTTTTTTTTTTTTTTTTGAGATAGACTCTCACTCTGTCACCCAGGCTAGAGAGCAATGGTGTGATCTTGGCTCACTGCAATCTTTGCAACTGCCGGGTTCAAGCAATTCTCCTGCCTCAGCCTCCCTAGTAGCTGGGACTACAGGTGTCCCCTACCACGCCCACCTAATTTTTGTATTTTTAGTAAAGATAGGGTTTCACCATGTTGGCCAGGCTGGTCTCGAACTCCTGAGCTTAGGTGATCCACACACCTCGGCCTCCCAAAGTGCTAGAATTACAGGCCTGCGCCACTGTGCCTGGCCATATTATATTCTTTTCACTACACAATGAGCTGGCTTATTAACGTTAATAAAGAACAAGCAAGCTACACTCATATCACAACATTCACTGAAAAGTTAGACACAAACATAAGAGCAGATCCAATCTGGCAGCACATTCTTACAGAGAGAGAAGTTCTACAATCCAGCTTGTACTTAGCAGCAATGCCAAAACGGGTGTTGTTACTCCCAGCCGTCCAAGCAAGGTTTATGGATGTTTCAATCTTCTCATTAACCTTCTGGTAGATAGAACCTCCAAACTCAGTGCCGTCGTTCCTGTTTTCATAGATAAGAAAACGTCATAAATATCTAGTTTGTACCATTGTTATTATGGTATGAAAACAAATTCTAAGACTATCTAAACAAGGATCCCATTTTGTAACTATAGATTTCAGCAAATTTCTAGCATAAATGACTACTAAACAAAACACAGAACTAAATCCAGCTATGCCAGTAATGACTGCTTAATTAAAACGTAACACTTGATCCATTTACTTGGCTCCTCCACATGATGTGAGTTTCTTAAGACAATTCAATTAAGCACAAAGGCAGACACCTCAGGTAAGTATAATCTATAGGTCTCTGAGAAGTTCATAGAACTTAGAAACTTCAAAGTAGAGTTCAATAAAGATTCTGCAAAAAAAATAAAAAGGTAGAGGTACAGGAATAAAACCAATTCTGGATTTCCTTTGAAACACAATCCTACAGTTACAAAGGACCCTCCTACAATACCTAGGGTGCACTGCTCCAGCAAACCACCTTAGTTATTGCTTCCAAGCATGCCAGAGATGAGTCCTTGGGTTTTCACGGTTTTCCTGGTAATACTGTTTCATCAATTTCAGTAACTGTCTGTCTGTACCACTGCTTGCCTTTGTTTTAGCCATCATTAAGTGAATTAGAGCATCTAGCAGAGAGGAATCTGCGACAGTTTAAAAACACAGTTTGCCCTTTGCTTCTTCTTCCTGGTACAGGAGCAGTGTCCAGTAGGCCCAACATAAAATACTATGTAAAAGTTCCGATTCATCCCGCCAACATGGTTCGGCCTACATAGCTGAATCCCAGGACTCTTTCAGAGCACCTGTTACTTCTGAATGCATTAGCGGTACCTGGGTTCCAACCAAGAATACCTGAAACCTCCACAGAATTACTGGGATGTCCCAGGATGCTCGAATCAATTTGGTGGTTGTTGTTGGTGACCCAAACAGACCTGCTTCCACATACTGTCAAGATAAGAGGGGAGCAGAGGAAGCAGTAACATCTCCAAAGGGTCATCTTACCATGAGGTAAGCCATGCTCTGGGCTCCCTCTATCCCAGTGGTTATTCTACAGAGACTAGAGCTTCCTGAAGTTTGGGGTATAGGCTGAGGGGCCAGTGACCACCAGCAGCACAGCCTGCACACCACATGCACCAGCCTCCTGGCAAGGTTTTGCTATGAGGATAGCACCACAAGGATGGATATTCACCAAGACATGCTAAATCTAAGCACCATCACCTCTCAGTATGCTAATGGCAACAATCTTTTGGGCAACTGCAATGACACTAAGGAATAAATTATAAACACTCACACATGTGTGTGCAGCTGGAAGTCCGCAGCCTTGTAACCCAGGGCGAAATTATTCTGTGACAGTTTGGATTTGGCTGTGTCAAAACTCATCTGATAGCCAGCAAGCCACCCTTCGAAGGCCAACACAGCCCAGCCATAGATGGTTGGTCCAGAAAAATCTATATCAACATTACTGCCAACACTAAAACAATCCCGTTTATAGGAAGCCTTCAATTTCCCACTCTTCTTTCTGCAACAAACCAACAAACAAACAAAAATGATGAAAACAACATGAGTTTTTACTATTGTCTAAGAATTTTTGGAGTAAGATCCTCTCTCTCATCTTCCAGTGTAAATATTGTTTTGCTACATGCCACATATATATTAAAAACATTTCAAATGACCTAGTTCTACAAATATATTACTCATTATAAGTTCAAATGACAGGATACTTCATGATTTATTTCGTAAAGGCATGAACAAAAGTACAAGAATGAGTAAGAGGCTGGGCGCAGTGGCTCCCATCTGTAATCCCAGCACTTTGGGAGGTCGAGGTGGGCAGATGACGAGGTCAGATTGAGACCATTCTGGCCAACATGGTGAAACCCCGTCTCTACTAAAAATACAAAAATTAGCTGGGTGTGGTGGCACACGCCTGTAGTGCCAGTTACTCAGGAGGCTGAGGCAGGAGAACCGCTTGAACCTGGAAGGCAGAGGTTGCAGTGAGCCAGTATCATGCCACTGTACTCCAGCCTGGTGACAGAGCAACACTCCATCTCAAAAAAAAAAAAAAAAAACAAGAATGAATGAGACACTTCACTGCCAAATTAATAATCTGAAGATGTACATATACAGACGTATGAGAAGCCAAATCTCTTTAAATGTTTCCAAATGCCAAATGCCACAAAGAGTTAATCCCCAATACACATTATTAACCTATCATGGAGAGAAGTGTGCTTTTATGAAGGATGATATCAAAAAAATGAAATTAGGCCAGGCACGGTGGCTCACACCTGTATTCCCAGCACTCTGGGAGGCTGAGATGGGTGGATCACAAGGTCAAGAGATCGAGACCATCCTGGCCAACATGGTAAAACTCCGTCTCTACTAAAAATACAAAAATTAGCTGGGTGTGGTGGTGCGTGCCTGTAGTCCCAGCTCCTCTCCCAGGCTGAGGCAGGAGAATTGCTTGAACCCAGGAGGCAGAGGTTGCAGTGAGCTGAGACAGCGCCACTGCACTCCAGCTGGGGCGACACAGCAAGATTCCATCTCAAAAAAAAAGAAAAAAGAAAATAATATTTGTCCGAAAGATAACTGAGGTGTGTGACAGAAAAAACACACCTGTTGTTACGGCTGAGACAAATGTCACTTTGCATTCACCTAGCACCTCCATCCTTCAGATAGCATAGACCCACATTAGGCAGATAGGAAATGACACAATCCCCCTTTTTTCACATGAGGAAATTGAGGCCAAGACGTTGGGGGATTTACAGAGGCTAAGAAATCAAGTAGGCAGCAGAACTAATCATTATAGCATTTGAGAGCCAGGAGATCACCCTCTTAAGAAATTAACTTTTCAGCACCATAAGATAGGGTGAGAAAAAAAAAAAAGGAATTTTCTTTTTTTTTTTTTTTTTTTTTTTTTGAGATGGAGTCTTGCTCTGTCACCCAGGCTGGAGTATAGTGGCGCGATCTCAGCTCACTGCAAGCTCCGCCTCTCGGGGTTCACACCATTCTCCTGCCTCAGCCTCCTGAGTAGTTGGGACTACAGATGCCCACCACCACTCCTGGCTAAGCTTTTGTATTTTTTAGTAGATATTTAGTTTCACCTTGATAGCCAGGATGGTCTCGATCTCTTGACCTCGTGATCCTTCCGTCTTGGCCTCCCAAAGTGCTGGGATTACAGGCGTGAGCCACCGCACCCAGCCAAAAGGAATTAACTTTTTCAGCAGAATACCACGTCCATCAAACTTCAGAATTGCTTAAGATTCATCTATGGTCTCAAGACTCTCCTAGCTCCTAAATTTTTTCTACTATGTGTCTCTCTGAAATAGATTTATACATTTTTGTTCATCTATTCAGTTTTCAAATTGTTCATCCTGCCTTGGGCGGGAGGGATCTTCCTTTATCTGTACTACATATACAAGGTCTCCAATATTCCTTATAGCAACCTTCTAAGTTCTTCCTGCCTCTGAACTTTGTACTATATCTTCTTATTCTAAAGTTCTCTACCCCTTCAGCCTCCAAAAACATTTCAGGAAATAGGATTTGAACAATTACCCTGTGTTCGGTACAAATATGGTATCAAGAGTCAGTTTCAACCCTTCAGCCAACTGAAAAACAAAGATTTAAAATAAATAATTAGTAATTTTCAATCATTTATCCAACTGAAGAAACCAATTCTAAAGTCTCCTCTAAGTTCTTTAACAAAAAAGTCATTCAAGAAAGCAAAATATTAAATTATGTAATAAGTGAGCTCTCCATCCTCCTGTCCCCTCACCCCAGCCTTCATCATGGTTCTCTCACCAAAAAATGGGGCAAATCCTATTTTAACAAGTTACATAAAATACAGTTCAAAACCAAACAGAATTCTCATACAACAAAATCATCTTGATACCTTCTTGAAAGAGTGGCAATGAGATAACCTGACATTTAACAAGCAAGCTAAGTCATTTTGCTCAGTTTTGCATGTATATTATCTATACATGGCGTCTATATCAAAAACAGTGCCCTGTACAGAGTAGGCACTTGACAAATATCTAATAGATTTTCTCCTTGAAAACATGAGAACATTTTAGAAGAATTTTTCTGTCAAGCCAATTTTACAACAATTACAAAACTAAACCAAATTTCCGCAAATAGTTTGTTCTACCCAGGAGAAGCTCAGCTGTGTAACACAGAACCAGTCAGAACAAAGATGTAATGGAATAATCAGAGTAGTCACAAACAAAGCCTTATTTTCTAGAAACATAAGACATCAAAAAAGGCCACATGCAGAGAAAAAATATGGCTACTAGATAGGTTGTAAGATCTCTTTTGATTATATTTGAGGTATGTTCATCATTCAGTCTACAAGATAAATTGAACCTATGAATAACTTCTAATGCTTTCTCTTACCTTATTCTCCCAAGAGATTTCTGTCCCTAGAGTATTGTCCGTGTTCCATTTTTGGGTGAAGGTAAGTCCATAGTTACAGACCTTATATTTGGTTTCTAGGTTGCCTGATGCTTTCCCTGTATCAGTGTAAGCATGACCAGAAGTAGAAAATTCCTGGTAAGCAAGAAAAAATAATTACTTTAAAATTAGCTCATCAAATAGAAAATACTCATTTTGGAAGGCAGTGTTCAATGCATCAGAAACAATACCATTTACTGTTTGCCACAGCCCTATTCTAGAGAAACTTCTTTCCTCCTTTCCCCTTGCTTTTCCAGTCCCTAAATATTTTAACCAGTTCCGCCAGGCGCAGTGGCTCACGCCTGTAATCCCAGCATGTTAGGAGGCCAAGGCAAGTGGATCCCTTGAGTCCAGGAGCTCGAGATCAGCCTGTGCAACATGGCGAAACCCCATCTCTACAAAAGATACAAAAAATTAGCCAGGCATGATGGCACACGACTATAGTCCCAGCCTGAGTCCAGGAGGCAGAGGTTGCAGTGAGCCGAGATCATGCCACTTCACCCTAGCCTGGGAAACAGAGTGAGACCTGTCTCAATACCAGTTTCAGATCTTTCCATTATTCTACTTCTCTTACTGATATTTCTTTTTCCATATACTCTCTTACTAAATGGAAATCCTAAATTCTCTCCTTTAAAAAAGAGGTATCTTTACTGAAAACAAATGCCTTTACTAAAAAGACCAAAAATATTGCATCTTAAACATTTTACTTTCATGACCTAAAAAAAGATTATCGGTTCTCTGCTATATGTTTCAAACTATCAGTTAATTTCAAGGTCCTTAAAAATTCCAAAATACTGCCCTCTTCCTTTTTAATAGGGTCAACACTTTACTACTTCCTTTAAAAAAATATGTATTATTTTATTGTGGTAAATACATTTAACATAAATTTTACCATTTTAATAATGTTTTAAGTGTACAGTGAAGTGGCATTAAGTACAGTCACACTGCTGTGAAAACTTTAACGCTTTTGTGTGCAAAACCGCAAAACTTCTGCTTAGACAATTTCAATATTTGAAAGTACTACCCATTTTTCAAAATAAAGTGGAATGCTATAATTTATCCTTCTTTCCCCCTTTATATCCTGTCTACCTTTAAGAGTGCCTTCTATCAAACAGTTACTATGAATGATTTAAAATACATCCTTTGCCCTAGTTCAGTGTCCTTTAAGTCATATGACAATAAGCAATTAGAAATAGACCTCCTTCTGCAGAAAGCAGTCAGCACCTGTCACTGACAATCTATGAACTGTCAAGAAAAAACATTCTGATTGGTCCTGTTTTAGGGAGCATTTCTGAAATCCTGCCAACAGTAATGAGATGCTGCCAACCCTGACCAGTCTTTTTCACTGCCTGCAACATGAATCCTCTCCTTAACAAATACCCTGCCCCCTACCTCTAGTTCTACAGGCAGATGAGACAACTGGGAAGCTATGATCTGTTTATCAACACCACACAGAATGGTTTCAAAGACAGTATCATGCTGCACATTTAGGGGAAGGCCTTAGTAAGAAAATGATAACGTGTTAATCATGTTTACCTGTTCACATAATTATTTTAATGTGACAATCATTTTTCTTTTAGTAGATCCAACTATCTAGTGTTTTATTTTTTACATTTACTTTTCACAAACTTGACAAGTATAACAAATGCAAATCTTAATTTTGGTGTTAGAAAAACCTTATGGACAAAATTAAGGTAGAGGGGTAGTCTACATTTCTCCCTTGTCAGCATCAATTCTTAGTTTGAAGGTCTGTCACAAATCTAAAATGCCACAGGTACAAATCTCAAAAACAAAAACAACTTAGAACAACTAGAATTGTTCTAAGTTGAGTTCCAGGCTCATGATTCACAATTCAGTTTGTGGCCAATTTCATAATTTGTTCAAACAAGTGCAAAACACATTTGTAACATGCATATAACATGCATATAGCTCTACATTAAATGCTTAGTAAGCAACAAAACAAACAAAAATGTTACTGTGAAGTAGATGGCATATGAGAAAAATATCAAGACACAATCTAAGAAATTTGGAACAATGATTGAAATTTATCCTAAATCAATACCAGAAACCAAAAGCAGCCATAAAAACAAGCATACAAATAAGCTTTTTTTTCTTACCATCTGAATGAATATTACCACACAACAGCAGCATGAAAGGGAGATAAAATTTTAGTTGATAATTTTTGCAACACAAACCTAACGAGCAAATTCTGGAACCTACACAAAGTGAGTATGATTCTTCTATTTTAACAGAACTATATACACAGCGTGCCCATCTTAGTAAGGTAGGTGCATATGTATTTATTTATTCTAGAGAAACCCAGGGAAAGAATGATGGTCACGAACCATAATTATATGCAGTATCATTAGAATTCCACATGCCTTTGTCCTTCTAATTATACATCCAGAAATAAAATCTGCATGGGTTTGAATGGATAAATACCAAAAACAATGCAGCCAATGAGAAGAAATCAGAGTAAGATGAATCAAAACTTAACCTACTAGCTGAAATTTACTGAATAAAACCAATTTTGTTTGTTTGTTTTGGAGACGGAGTCTCGCGTTGTCGCCCAGGCTGGAGTGCAGTGGCGCGATCTCTGCTCACTGCAAGCTCCATCTCCCGGGTTCACGCCATTCTCCTGCCTCAGCCTCCCAAGTAGTCGGGACTATAGGTGCCCACCACTACATCTGGCTAATTTTTTGTATTTTTAGTAGAGACAGCATTTCACCATGTTAGGCAGGATGGTCTCGATCTCCTGACCTCGTGATTCGCCCACCATGCCCGGCCCCTTTTTTTTTTTTTTTTTTTTTTTTTAAGACGAAGTCTCACTCTGTCACCCAGGCTGGAGTACAATGGCTTGGTCTCGGCTCACTGCAACCTCCGCCTCCTAGGTTCAAACGATTCTCCCGCCTCAGCCTCCCGAGTAGCTGGGACTATGCGCGTACCACCACACCCAGCTAATTTTTGTATTTTTAGTAGAGACGGGGTTTTGCTATGTTGGCCAGGCTGGTCTCGAACTCCTAATCTCGTGACCCTCCCACCTTGGCCTCCCAAAGTGCTGGGATTACAGGTGTGAGCCACCATGCCCAGTCAAAAACTATTGTTAATGATACTTTGAAAATATGCCAACATAGCCTTTACTATAGTCTTTACTTCCAATAAAAAATACTTTATAAACATAAGTTAAAAACTGTAGAATAATGTACATGCATACATGCAGAAATACATTTTATATATTTTGTTTCTACTAATCATAAAGGGGCAAAGTAAAGTTAATTTGTTTTTGTAAAAGCTTAATAAAATTTCCATGAATCCATTATCATAGAAGTAAGGTTTTTGGTGCCCATATACATATTCATGAAAGTATATATTTTTTGACATTTCTTGACCCATGTCAAAAAATATATATTCTACATTTTCTGAGTGAAAGCTGTAGTATACTCTGAGAAACACAAAAGGTCTCTTCAAGAATTCAACTTGGTTGTTTATTTTAATTGGCTAAGAATGCTGTTTGGAATCTGAGAGGACAAAGCTGTGGGTAAGACAGCATGGTGCTGGTTCAAGTAACTAGACTGTCATGATTTTACACAGATTCCTTTAAGTTAATTATGTTACATCCATTAAAAATATATTAGATACTCACCACTCCACTACAAGACTTGGTTTTCAGGTCTATCTTGACCATGCCAAAGCCTATACACGCACACACAAAAACACAGTAATGTACAAAATGTGACATTCACTACAGTTTTTGCAACTCAGAAATTATGAAATAGCCTATAGTACCTTTCATATGAAAAATGCATTCATATGAAAAATTTCATTAGGTGAGAGTTCCTCAAGAAACTGAATTATAAACAAATAAATTCAGTATAATTTTCAAGCCCTTAAAATGAATAAAGATATACTTTTAAAATGTAAGTTAAAGAAAAAAATAAATGAAAGGAATATGCACTATTCCAAGAATCAAAATTGCTGAAAATAGTGTGCTGCTGTATATATTGCTCAAAATATACAGCTAACATTACTAGTTAATAAGAAAAAATCAAATATGTACAGCACAAAAATTTAGGTTAAATTTTAAAACCTAAAAAATAATATTTAGGATCACAATACACATTACTTCAAATAAGTCAAAAGTTATGTTGTCACTTTCATAAAAACAATGCCATTGTTTGGAGGGAGGAAAAGTATTACCCCTACTTTAATTGTCCCCAGGGCTAGACAAAAAAGACATAAATGTTATATATATTATTCTACATTACAGGCAACATTAAATATGGACATATATATCCATCTGTATATGTATATAATTGCTTTTAACGCTTGAAAGGGGTTCTACCTCTAAAGAATGAGGTCTAATAGCCTGTTAATAGTTATCCCCTTAAATCTTGTGAAGTGGATTAATGCTGACTTACCCTTATTTTACTAGCACAGTATTTACACACAGTAGGCATTCAACACTAACTTTTACCCCAAATTGTAAAGTTACAATAGCATACTTACCATATCCTTTGTTGAAGACATCCTTAGCAGCCTTTCCTAGGTCACAGTAAGTTGGTGTGTTACACATATCTTATAAAGAAAAACAGAGCAAAGGAATAAAAATAACCATTTAGTATTTATTCACCCACAGTTCTGCTGTTTCATCCTATGAGAAGAAGTATACAGTGTTCTCTTCCTTTGTATCATTGATGCTTTAACGCAATCAAAGGTATGAGATGGCAATCTGCTCCTTAAAAAAATAGAGCTTTCCAGAATACTGAGAATAAAACAGTTTTCCCGTGAGATTCAGAGGTCATCTTTCTGATTGCATTTCAAAGAAAAGTAAGTTCTTACAGGATGAAAAAGATGCTATGTTAAACTGGACTTCTTTTAAAAATATATGCAAAATTTACCTTAGAAAAATCTCTCTCAGGCTCTTATGAAACCAAAGACCTGTATAAGACAACAATGGAAATTTTTGAAGAAACTGTTAAAAGATGCAATCAAAATCCTCAGGGTTAACATTTTTCTCCTCTGAAATTCAGTTCTTAAAATAAGAATTTACCATATGAATTGAAGTGTATTCATCTAGAATATATTTTCTCTCAAAGCTCTTAAAAGTGCCATAATTTTACCCATTAACCAGAAATATGATAGATTCTACCTGCAGCAACCTGCTTACCAAAAGTGTAGTAAACTCTGAAGTTAAAGCCTTCAAAAATCTCAGGTGCCTTGGGTTTTCATCTTGCCTACTAAAAATTTGCCCAGGTTTGCTACTGGTAATATGACCCTCACATCAAATTCTGAGAGCTATCAACACTGCTGAATATCTCATTCCTTTGCCCTCTTTGTATCATGGGAAATCTTCCTGCAGCAGGTTCTTCTGTATTCCTCTAGCAGACTCAAAAGCTATGTCTAAGCAGTTACAGAGCCACCTCTAGCAGTGCCATTAGCCCATAGTCAGAAAAATCCAGAGTATCAGCTAGCCCTTGCAATTGCTATGCCTGAATGATCTACATATTTAAGCTCGTATTTATTTATATATAGCCCAGCTCTTAATCTAGACTCCTGCTAAGCTTCTGCCTACCCCATCATACCAAACATATAGATATGATGCACTTAAATGGGAATGCATTTAAATTTTGTTCCTTAACATAAACCTATCAAATATCACAGACACTATGATATAAAGAGACTAGTATAAAAAACTAAAAAGGAAAAAAAATGAAAGAGCAAAGGGTACTATAAATATACTGACTCATTCCATAGTAAAACTTTGCTCTAAGCTACAAGGTTTCATAATTCACTCACGGAACGATTATTTTACAATTCAATCCTTTGTACTAAAGTGATCAATTCTAGCCTTTTTATATTATCCCAATTGCAATTTGATATTACTCTTTATGATTACAACGGATGTTGATATTTGTTGAAATTTTATCCAGTATTATCCCAATTGCAATTTGATATTACTCTTTATGATTACAACGGATGTTGATATTTGTTGAAATTTTGCCAGAAGTCTGTAATTTGGGAGGTAAGTATAGAAATGCAGGCAGTATATATTGAAATAGAAATGTTAAAGCTTTACAGTCTGGTTTTTCATACTGCCGAGAAAAGATACACTTAAGTGTTTAGAAGCACCATATATACGTCTAGGGACTATTTAAAATATTTCAGCATATTGTTGTTTTTCAAAACCAGTACCAGATACTATGCAAAAGTCACGTAGCTGGTTTAGTTTACTAACTGACCTCAATTCTGCCTAGTTCAAGCTGACTTTTTCCGGCCTATGACTCTGATGGGAAATGCACTGCTAGTATGATCAAGCAAAAATCGAGAACAGAAACTTCATGTTCCTCGAGAGTAAAGCTACAACCACACGTCTCCACCAGCTCTACAGAATGCACCTGCCCATAGATGTGCACAATGCACAGAGGCTGCAGGAGACGCAGACGGGGAGAGGCGTTAGCCGGGTACTACTGGTTTACAAAGCCACTAACTTGACAGCCAGTACAGAGCCCGTTTCGTTCCTCGCTTCTCCGTTTTGAATTGCACGCAGGGCACCCTCCGTCGGCCGTAAGGAGAGGAGGACTGGCCTGATGCTCCACAGCAATTCCGGAAGGCAGGGGCGGGAGGGGGACGGGTGTGGGGTTCGAGGATTCAACTTCCCTAGAACCGATCTCCTTTCTAGCTGACCCCTGGGAGGACAGTGCGGTCCACACGCCGGCGGGGGAGGTCGCGGCCCGCGCCCGGAGGCCACTTGCCCCGCCGTGCTGCGGCTTCATCGCCTGAGGTGGCCCGGGGTGGGTCCCGGCGGGAGCCAGCGGCCCCGGTCCGCCGCGCCCCGCCCGGCCCGCGCCCCAGTAGCCTGCTCTCTGCCCACAGAGCCTCCGTTAGGGCCGCCTCCCGCCTGGCACTATGCTCGGCCGTGGCCCACCGCTCTCCGGGCCTGGAGCCCACGCGGCCTCGGTTCTCCTCACCTCCACCCCGAGGGCCTGTCTCCGCTCTGCCCGGGCAACGCTGAAGGTCTTCAAATCAACGCCGTCCGCGCCTGCGCGGCCTCGCACCCCCAGCTGCGCCTGCGCGCCGCGCCTCCACCAGAGCGCCAGTGCGCCGGCGTGTTGAGCCACGGTCGCGCGCTACGGAGCAAGGCGCGGAGACGAACAGCCGGGCAGAGCCAGCACCACCAACTGTCCGGCTCCGCGGCGCGCATGCGCAGGAGGGTCCGGTGTGCACAGTGGGGTTAACTGGAGGCGCAAGAGGCCGGGGACCGCACCTGTGCCCGCGAGGGGACTCAATCTCGCGAGAATGCGCGAGGTTGCTAGTTACTGTTGCCATGGGCGCGGCCGGGAAAAGGCGGCGGGGTGCCGGATCCCTGGTTGAGGCATGACGCAGGCAGGAGTGTAGTGGCACGATCTTGGCTCACTGGCGCCTCGACCTCCTGGGCTCAAGCCATTCTCCTGCCTCAGCCTCCTGAGTAGGAGGGTCCACAGGCGAGCGCCACTACTTCCGGCTAGTTTACTTTTTTTTTTTTTTTTGTAAAGACAGGAATCTCCCTGTTTCCCAGGCTGGTCTTGAAGTCCACGGCATAAGTGATCCGCCCTCCTGCGCCTCGCAGAGTGCGGGGATCACAGGCCTGAGCCCACCCCAGCCCCTTATGGGAATTTCATTTCAGACTGACCAGGCTTCAAGAGTGTCACTCTTAGGTCATCTCTTAAGGATGAGAGTACATAGGTCCCAAGGGAGTAAGTGATTGATTCAAGATCCCACAAGTAGTGATCAATCTCTCTGATGTGAAGGTAGCCTTTTCTCTTTAGTGAGTAATCTATGGGAGTGATACTTTGAAACCATATGAACATCCTCAACGGTCCATTGATCATTTCAGCCTGAATCAATTATTATTATGGTGGTTCAATTATTATTTGAGACAAGCCTAGGCAATATGTTGAACCCCTAGAGAGATGATAATTCCAAGGGGAGAGGATGTGGAGGAGAAAAAGCTCTTTCGTAGAGGAGAAGACCAACTAATAAAGGTAGAATAGATGATAGATACAGAAAATCATCATCTTGGAACCACCATAATAATAATTGATTCAGGCTGAAATGATTAATGGACGGTTGAGGATGTTCATATGGTTTCAAAGTATCACCCCCACAGATTACTCACTAAAGAGAAAAGGCTACCTTCACATCAGAGAGATTGATCAAACGGGGGATGGTAGGGACTGACATATGCCCCCGGTGTGAGGCACAGAGAGGGACACAGAGATAATATTCTAGTAAAAGTGTGTAATTTGCCTCTCTTCACGACGAAACAATCAGGCAAATCCAAACTGAGAGACCTGCAAGACAACTGCCAGTCTTCAAAAATGTCCATTTCTTGAAAGATTAAGAAAAAGGCTAATGAACTGCTCTAGATTAAAGGAAGCCAAACACGTGACACTAAAAGCAATGTGTGATCCTAAATTAGACCCTGAATAAAAACCAAACAAACAAAACCAGCTACTGAGGAGTTATTGGGACAATCGGGGAAATTTGAATAGAGAGTAGATTATCATTGCAACAATGTAAAATTTTCTGAGGGGGCCCTGGGTGCAGTGGCTCACGCCTGTAATCCTAGCATTCTGGGAGGTCGAGGGGGGCGGATCACTTGAGGTCAGGAGTTCCACACCAGCCTAGCCAATATGGTGAAACTCCATCTCTAGTAAAAATACAGAAAATTAGCTGGGCATGGTGGTGGGTGCCTGTCATCCCAGCTACTGGGGAGGCTGAAGCAGGAGAATCACTTGAACCCAGGAAGTGGACGTTGCAGTGAGCCAAGATTGTGCCATTGCACTCCAACCTGAGTGACAGGGTGAGACTCCTTCTAAAAAATAAAAAAATCCTAAAGTTAGTGTACCTTGGTTATGCAGAAATGGCCTTGATTTTAGGAGACGCATGCTGAAGTATTTAGAAGTGAAATAACATGTATCTGCAACTAACCCTCAAATGGTCCAGAAAAAAGAAAAAACAAATATGAAAAAATGTTAACAATCGAGGTGGAACGTATGTGTGTTCATTGCACTATTCTTGAAAATTTCCACTGAGTTTTAAGTATTTTTGAAATAAAAGAAATAGGCCCGCACAAACTCTGTGATGCTCCACAATACACAATACCAAGTTGCTGCTTGAATCAAATATCAGATTTGCCCTCTGTGTGAAAGGTATTTGAAGTTGATAAGAGATAAGACACATGTCCCCAAGAGACTCATAATGTAAGACTTGGACAAATATCTGCTGAATGAGGCCAAATATGGTCAATGTCATAAGCAAAGTAGTATAACCTAGAAGCGGAAATAAAGTGAGCTTAGGAGTCCAAAGAGCTGAATTTGTGTCTCAGCTCTGCCAACTCTGTGGTCTTAGGCAAGCATTAACCTCTCTCTGCCTCAGTTTCCACATCTGTGAAATAGAACTAACTTAATATCTACTCAGAGGATTGTAGTGGATATTAAATAATGTATCCAGGCCGGGTGCCACGGCTCACTCCTGTAATCCTAGCAGTTTGGAAGACCGAGGCAGTGGATCGCTTGAGCCCAGGAGTTTGAGACAAGCCTAGGCAATATGTTGAACCCCATCTCTACAAAAAATACAAAAATTAACCGGGCACGAGTGGCCTGTGCCTGTAGTCCCAGCTACTTGGGAGGCTGAGCTGGGATGATCACTTGAGCCCAGGGAGGTCAAGGCTGCTGTGAGCTGTGATTGCACCACTGCACTATAGCCTGGCCGACAGAGGGAGGCACCATCTCCAAAAATAAATAATGTATCCACAGCACATAATTTACCTGGCATATGGAGAATGCTCATCAGTAAATAACATGTGAAAATAAAGGAGTTGGTTGGGCGCAGTGGCTCACGCCTGTAATCCCAGCACTTTGGGAGGCCAAGGTGGGCAGAACACGAGGCCAAGAGGTCGAGACCATTCTGGTCAACACGGTGAAACCCCATCTCTACTAAAAATACAAAAATTAGCTGGGCGTGGTGGCAGGCACCTGTAGTCCCAGCTGCTCGGGAGGCTGAGGCAGGAGAATCGCTTGAACCCAGGAGACAGTGGTTGCACTGAGCCAAGATCATGTCAGTGCACTCCAGCCTGACAACAGAGTGAGACTCCGTCTCAAAAATAAATAAATTAATTAAATAAAAAAAGAAAAGAAAAGAAAGGAGTGTAGACCACATGCGGTGGTTCACACCTATAATCCTAGTGCTTTAGGAGGCTCAGGCGGGTGGATCACCTGAGATAAGTTCGAGACCAGCCTGGCCAATATGGTGAAAACCCATCTCTACTAAAAATACAAAAATTAGCCGGGTGTGGGGGCACATGCCTGTAGTCCCAGCTACTCAGGAGACTGAGGCAGGAGAATTGCTTGAACCTGGGAGGTGGAGGTTGCAGTGAGCTGAGATTGCCCCACTTCACTCTAGCCTGGGCTACAGAGCGAAACTCCCTCTCAAACAAAACAGAACAAAACAAAAAGAAGAAAGAAAAGAAAGGAGTTTAAAAGCTATACAGGCAAAACTCACATTTTTCATATACATATGAATATTAGAGCCACAACTTCAGCCTATGCTGTAAGGCCAGGAGTAGAAGTGTAGGCTGAGCAACATAGTGAGACCCCATCTCTAAAAACATCATTTTTAATTAGCTGAGGGTTATGGTGGCCTTCTGTAGTCCTGACTACTGAGCAGGCAGAGGTGGGAGGATGGATGGCTTGAGCCTGGGAGGCTAAGGCTAGAGTGAACTATGATCATACACTGTACCCCAGCCTGAGTGACAGACCAAGACCCTTATCTGTTAAGAAAAAAGTTTTTAATGGAAATTTCACAACATTCTGTTATCTGAAGGTTTTCTTCTGAAAGGACCCAATACCACCAGTCCCAGGTAATCCAGAAAGACCTGAAGCAAGAAGGTGATGAGAAGACCATGAAGGAAGTCAGCTGCTGCAGGAAGGATCCGTCCTTTGCTTCCCGTCCCTCTAGTCCTGTCCAGTTAGCTGGGTCTAGATTCACACTTAATGTCCTTATCAAGACTGGCCTTCATTGGCCAGGCGCAGTGGCTCACGCCTGTAATCACACTTTGGGAGGCTGAGGCGGGTGGATCACCTGAGCTCAGGAGTTTGAGACCAGCCTGGCCAACATGGTGAAACCCTGTCTCTACTAAAAATACAAAAAAAAAAAAAAATTAGCTGGCATGGTGGCAAGCATCTCAGCTTGCCAGCTTGCCAGTAATCCCAGCTACTCAAGAAGTTGAGTCAGGAGAATCGCTTGAACCCAGGAGGTGGCAATTGCCCTGAGCAGAGATCGTGCCATTGCACCATTGCACTCCAGTCTGGGAAACAAGAATGAAACTCTGTCTCAAAAAAAAAAAAAAAAAAGAGAGAGAAAAAAAAAAGACTGGCCTTCACCACCTCAGAACTACAGCCAAATAATGCACTGGTTCTCACATTCTCATTCCCCACTCACACTGTGATCTAAACTCTTGGGAAGTGTGGAAAGGGCTTTCTCAGTCCAAATCCTGATACAAATACCATGGCATTCCCCTGTCAAATCAATAGAATCAGAGTTTTAGAGCTAGGAAGGGACTCTCAATGCCTTCCTTTAAGGAATGTTTGCTAAGCGCCTTTCGTGTCCAGGGCATGATGACAGTGCTCAGAGCTGCCATCCAGGGAGACACTCACAGCGTCCGAGTGCAGAGTCCCAGGGAGATGCCGTCCCCAAGGGAGCAGGCTCCCAGCACAGGTCACCCACTGAGCCAAGGTAACCTTCTGGTCTTCCCCTGTGGCCTTGTTCAGATAAAATTCTTGGAAGGTTAGTATAGTTTTACTCTCAGAGATTGAAAAACCAGCTGGGAACAGAAGCTCTTCTGTAAAGATTTCATAGCTCAGTTACCATGAGTGTAGGATATGATAAGATTCTAAAGCCAGCTGTGTAATTCAATTCCATTTCTTTAAAGAAAAAGGGCTGGTCTGGCATAGTG